GTGTAGGTGGGTGGTGGGTTACTGGGTAGTGGTGAATGGTGTAGGTGGCAGGGTTACTGGGCAGTGGTGGCTAGTGGTGTAGGTATGGGGTTACCGGGCAGTGGAGAGTGGTGCAGGTGCTGGGTTACTGGGCACTGGTGAGTGGTGTAGGTGGCAGGGTTACCGGGCACTGGTGGGGGAGTGGGGGCAGAGGTGGCACGGTTACCGGCAGTGGGTGTACCTGGCAGGGTTACCGGGCACTGGTGGGGGAGTGGTGTTGGTGGCAGGTTACCGGGCACTGGTGGAGTGGTGTGAGGGGCAGGGCGTACTGGTGGGGAGTGGTGTAGGTGGCAGGGTTACCGGCACTGGTGGTAGTGGTGTAGGTGCAGGATTACCAGGCAGTGGTGGTGAGGGTGTAGGTGGCAGGGTTACTGGGCACTGGTGGGGATTGGTGGTGGCAGGTTACTGGGCACTTGTGGGAGTGGTGTAGGTGGCAGGGTTACTGGGCACTGGTGGTGAGTGGTGGTGGCAGGGCCAAGGTGCACTGGTGGGGAGTGGTGCAGCAGATGAATGGGTTACCGTTACTGGTGGTGAGTGGTAGTGCAGGTTACCGGTCACTGGTGGGGAGTGGTGTAGCTGGGAGGGTTACTGGCACTGGTGGAGTGGTGACAGTAGATGGATGGGTTACTGGTCACTGGTGGTGAGTGGTGAGGTGGCACCACTGGCGTGAGTGGTGGTGGCAGGGTTACTGCATGGGGGGAGTGGTGTCAGCAGATGAATGGGTTACTGGTTACTGGTGGTGAGTGGTGTAGGCAGGGTTGGCCGGGTTACTGGTGGTGGAGGTGTGTGGTGGCAGGGTTACTGGGTACTGGTGGAGTAGTGTACAGTAGATGAATGGGTTACTGGTTACTGGTGGTGAGTGGTGTAGGTGGCAGGGTTACTGGGTACTGGTGGGGGAGTGTAGGCAGGTTACTGGGCACTGGTGGTGAGTGGTGTACAGTAGGTGAATGGTTACTGGGCACTGGTGGTGGAGTGTATGGCAGGTTACCGGGGTAGAGTGGTGGTGGCAGGTTACTGGGCAGTGGTGGGTGGAGTGGTGTAGGTGGCAGGGTTGGGCACTGGTGGTGAGTGGTGTACATCAGGTTACTGGGTAGTGGTGGTGTGAGTGTAGGTGGCAGGGTTACTGGGCACTGGTGGTGAGTGGTGAGGTGGCAGGGTTACTGGGAGTGGTGCAGGTGGGTACCAGGCACCAGGAGTGCAGGCACTGGTGGTGAGTGTGAGGCCAGGTTACCGGGGTAGTGGTGGTGAGGTAGGTGCAGGTTACCGGGCAGTGGTGGTGGTGGGTTGGGTGGTGATGGGAGAGGTGCAGGTTACTGGGGAGAGGTGTAGGTGGCAGGGTTACTGGGCAGGTGGTGGGGGAGAGGTAGGTGGCACAGTGCAGTGGTGGGGAGAGGTGAGGTGGCAGGTTACTGGGTAGTGGTGGGAGTGGTGTAGGTGGCAGGTTACTGGGCACTGGTGGGAGGAGGTGGCAGGTTACCGGCAGTGGGAGAGTGTAGGTGGCAGGTTACTGACAGTGGTGGTGAGTGGTGTAGGTGGCAGGGTTACCAGGCACTGGTGGGGAGAGGTGTGGGTGGGTTACTGGGCAGTGGTGGTGAGTGGTGTAGGTGGCAGGTTACTGGGCATGGTGGTGAGTGGTGTAGGTGTCAGGTTACCGGGTAGTGGTGGTGAGTTGTGTAGGTGGCAGGGTTACTGGGCACTGGTGGTGAGGGTGGTGCAGGTTGATGGGTAGTGGTGGGAGTGGTGTAGCAGGTTACCGGTACTGGTGGTGAGTGGTGTAGGTGGCAGGTTACCGGGTACTGTGGTGAGTGAGGTGGCAGGGTTACCGGGTACTGGTGGTGAGTGGTGTAGGTGTCAGGTTGGGTAGTGGTGTGAGTGATGCAGGCAGGGTTACCGGGCAGTGGTGGTGAGTGGTGGTGGCAGGGGTTACTGGGCACTGGTGGTGAGGTGTAGGTGGCAGGGTCAGGGCAGTGGTGGTGAGTGGTATAGGTGGGCACTGGTGGTGAGTGGTGGCAGGGTTACTGGTGAGTGGTGTGGGTGGCAGGGTTACTGGGCACTGGTGAGTGGACAGTAGGCAGTGGCCGGGCACTGGTGGTGAGTGGGTGAGGTGTCAGGCAGTGGTGGTGAGTTGTGTAGGTGGCAGGTTACCTGGCACTGGTGGGAGTGGCGGCTGGCAGTGGGCACTGGTGGTGAGTGTAGGTGGCAGGTGAGGGTGGGTTACCGGGCACTGGTGGGGAGTGTGTAGGTGGCAGGTTACCGGGTACTGGGTGAGTGGTGTAGGTGCAGGGTTACTGGGTAATGGTGGTGAGTGGTAGTGCAGGTTGGGTACTGGTGGGGAGAGGTGTAGGTGGCAGGGTTACTGGGTACTGGGTGGTGACTGGTAGGTGAGGGTGCTACCGGGTACTGGTGGTGATGGTTTTGAGGTCAGGGTTACCGGGTACTGGTGGGGAGAGGTGTAGGTGGCATGGGTTCACTGGTGGGGAGTGGTGTAGGGGCAGGGTTACTGGTACTGGTGGTGAGTGGTGAGGTGGCGGGTTACCGGGTGGTGGTTGAGTGTGGACAGAGGTGGCAGGGTTACTGGGTACTGGTGGTGAGTGGTGTAGGTGGCAGGGTTACGGGTACTGGTGGTGAGTGGTGTAGGTGGCAGGGTTACCGGGTACTGGTGGTGAGTGGTGTGGGTGGGGTTGCGGGTACTGGTGGTGAGTGGTGTAGGTGGCAGGCGTTACCGTACTGGTGGTGATTGGTGTAGGTGGCAGGGTTACCGGGTAGTGGTGGTGAGTGTTGTAGGTGGCAGGGTTACTGGGTACTGGTGGTGAGTGGTGTAGGTGGCAGGGTTACCGGGTAGTGGTGGTCATTTATTTCCTCAGTCAAGGGAAATGCCACCTTGAAGGTCGCTACGAGCGGATACCGACCGGGTGTTGAGCCTCACGACCTTACACTTATGCACACATACACCATATTATAGAATACACACACACACACACACGTTTTCATTGTGGATCTACATGAAATATATATATATATATATATATATATATATATATTCCTGACATCTGTTTGATGCCGATGTGACATCCATCCCTAAAGCACCTCCTCCCCTTTTACAGGTTTCTTACCAATAATGGCGCAGCTGAACAAGCTAACAATCATATTGTTGCTATATGCTAGCTGCTCCCACAGCTTGATGCTATCTGTTTCCCAGCTTATCTACCAGTACCCTCATTCACTAAATACAGTGCAAGAACTTGAAGTAACAAGGCGATTATACGAACTCTGGATCAAACTCTCCACCACTTACATTGACATACCATTGAAGCTCTTCATGAAGTTTTCCCGGAACTAGCCAAACCTCTCTGCGCTTCTGTGGTAAGTAAAATGCCCAGCTGACAAGAAGTTTTCATATGTTTCACCATTGCCAAAGTCAACAAGCCCATGATCTTTAAGCTAGTTACAACCTATTGCCATTACCCCAATACCCAGCTTAATCTGCGAGGGGTTTGTATTTGACTGAGCTTATGCTAATATTGCAGGCGCAATAGATCCTCAGCAATTCGGCAATATTAAAGTCTATTCTATCACCCACCTTCTAGATTTCATCGATCACAACCTAGAGAAACATAACCCATTGTGGCTCTCACCTTCATAGACTTTACCAAATCATTTGACTTAATCAATCAATAAAATTATATACAAAACCTTAGGTTTTGGAGAGCTGTCATACAATGGCTAATAGACTTCCTTGTGACCGGCCCCAAGCTGTACGCTTCTGAAGGGCAGTCTCCACTTTTCAGTTACTTGCGGTGACTCCCCCCCCCCCCACACACACCCCAAGGCACGAGGATGGGAACACTGTTTCCTCATCAACGAGGCTTTGAAAGACACTTCCGGTTGTTGGAAATATATCGAGAACTCCATCTTTGACATCAGTGCGTACAATTCGGCAACGCCCTCCAGAATATACTGAACAGTTTCCAAGATTGGTCTACCGCCAACCGTGTCACTATCATACCAACCATGTTTCGCTTCCCTCCATCGCGCTGGGCCTCGACACACTTCAGGGTGTAGACGCCACCGTCCACCAGGCCCCTCGGCGTCACCATAGATAACAAACTTAGCTATAGTTCCCATTTCCTCCGTTGTCCCTGGTCCCTTTGACTTTATGTACGTCTGACCTTATGAATGTTTACACAACATTCATACTTATTAAACGCACCTATGCTTCCTCCTCTCCCTGGTCTTCTTCCGTGTTTGCTCTTCAATAAGGACTCCTAGAGAATGCGAAACTATTCTCTTCCCTTGTTACACCATATATTTTTATTATCTCTTGTTTATAATTTTACCATTTACCAGTACATGAGAAAACTGGAGTGCCCGGAGCAAACCTGTGATGTTTGGTAGTGAGGGTCACACAGCTTCTCACGTGTGTTCAGGACTCCAACCCCGGACATATTAGTGAGAGATGCTCGCGTTACCGCTATACCACCAACAACTCAACATGTCATCATCGTAACCTCATCTATCAGTTTCGGACAAAGCTGCTATATCATCTTCGTCCATCGCCACCACAACCTCATCTTGCCCACATGATCACATGCCCGGTACTGGTCGCTTTGAGAATAGCCCCATTCTAACCATTATAAAAATCATCAACAACTTAGATAACTTGTGTGTTCACTCCTTACCACTCTTCATTTTGTACTGTAACGGTACTGAAATTCCTTGTTTAATGACCCTCCCTACCCCTGTGTGTTATATATTGTACTGTATGTATGTTTTTGCATATTTCGAGTTTATACCATTAATTATTATTATTATTATTATTATTATTATTATTATTATTATTATTATTATTATTATTATTAGCAAACAAACACAAACATAATCCTTGAACACACACATACACATACACACACACACACACACACACACACACACACAGGGGACGGAGGCGGGATGGACTGGGGATGATTGATGAAGAAATGATCATACGGCAGATGATGACCAATTTAAGGTCTGCGGGACACCCTCTCAGACGTGCATGTCTGTCTGTCTGTCTGTGTTTATTTTTTTTAGTTTGCTTGTCACTTTATCTCTGTTTGGTTGTCTGTGTCTGTCTCTTTATCTCTATCTGTCTGTCTGTATTTTTGTTTGTTTATCTGTCTCTCTGTCTATCTTTTTGCCTGTCTAGCAGTAATTGTTTGTCTGTCTGTCTGTCTGTCTGGTTAGGTAGGACCTGTGTGTTTGCGTGGTTCAGTTAGCGTTGTGTGAACTTTCTTGTGTTTCATTCATTATGCACATATGTGTGCACATGTGTATTTATCTGTGTACGTCTTTGATATTTGTGTACATGTGTGTTGTGTGTGCACATGTGTGTCTTATATCTGCGCATGGGGTATTGTGTGTTGCGCGCGTGTGTGTGTGTGTGTGCGCGTTATCGATGCACGTGTGTTTTGCAAGATATATACACAATTGCACATGCATGTATTGTCTGTGGGAATGTGCGTGTACCATCTGTGCACATATGTGTGTTATATGTGTGCATGTGTGTCTTTGCATAGGAGTGTTGTCTGTGCGTTTGTCTTATCTGTGCACGTGTATGTTGTTTGTGTACATGTGTGTGTTATCCGTACACACGTGCGTGCTCACGTTAACTTTGTACAGTTTAATGTTTGTCTTTTGCTAAATCTGTGTTGTTGCCTCAAGTGGTGAGTCATCTGGTTATATCTACACACAGTAGCTCCCTTGTGTCCTTTTATGGTAAGACTGTGTTTTGTATTTATTGTTGCTCAACATTCTACATCTCCCTGTTGTCCAAACCTGTTAATATAATAATTTATGTTCTAGCAGGATCAGATGACAGTAGTGACCGAGGTGTGCGTGACGTCCTTTGCTGGTGGTGGTGACGTCTCTTATACGACACTGTTCTTGTTTACACACTCACACACAGACACACACAGGGGCGTCATTTTTTTGGGGGGGGGGAGCTAGGGGGGCACAAGGGGGGCACTCGCCCCCCAAGACCTGGCTTGCCCCCAAAACCTGGCTTGCCCCTCTTAAGAGCTGGCTTGCCCCCCCCCCCAGACCTAGCCTGCCCCTCCCAAGGGCTGTCTTGCTCTCCAAGGAAAATTTTAATGATATTCCTTTTTCATATCGACGATTTTGGATTAGGTGAGAACATCTCAATGGTATTTATACTTTGCATAATTAAACAAAATGATAAATATTCATCTATTTTCATTGTTCCCATTACCTATCATCTATAAACTGAATAGCAGCAAGGAAGTAAGTCATATTGCTAACAACCACACTGTCCATACCGGGCAGATGCAAATTGAAAATATAAAACATGTTGGAACGTGTTCCGTCTGTTAGAGAACCACCCGGCGGCACCACGGTGGAGCAAGATTTTGACCCCTACTCTTTGCATGCAATGGTGTTGCTCCCCCCATAAGCAAAATCTGAAATGACGCCCCTGCACACACACACACACACACACAGTCAGTTAAACAGTGTATAGACAATTTAGAACGTGGCGACCTGTGGGGTAATGGTCAGCATTCTCGCCTTGCAAGTGAGCGGACCCGAGTTCGATCCCCAGGCATGGTGTAACTTTGGGCAAGTTTCTTTACACCATTTGCCTCTGTCTACCCAGCAGTAATTGGGAACCTGGATGTTAATCGATTTACGGATCGCATTCCAGGGTAATGGTTAGCCAGTGCAGTTGGCGAGTTGTCCGGTCTTCTCGGGCTATTCCTTGACACTGGGTCATGCAACTCGTTAACTTAGGATGTGGTTGTTGTGTTGGCGACAGCTTCTACACCTTAAACACTGGGTCATGCAGCTCGTTAACTCAGGGTGTGGTTGTTGTGTTGGCGACAGCTTCTACACCTTAAACACTGGGTCATGCAGCTCGTTAACTCAGGGTGTGATTGTTGTGTTGGCGACAGCTTCTACACCCTAAACACTGGGTCATGCAGCTCGTTAAGTCGGGGTGTGGTTTTTGTGTTGGCGACAGCTTCTACACCTTAAACACTGGGTCATGCAGCTCGTTAAGTCGGGGTGTGGTTGTTGTGTTGGCGACAGCTTCTACATCTTCAACAAATTCACGCCTAGGTGGCACGTAGGCCGGCCATATTCGTTACACGAGGGGCAACTATTAGAAAATGCAGATGAATAAAGAAGAAAAAACATCGATAAGAATAACAAGAATAATTCTATGTTGAGCCACCAAGGGTAGTAAGGTGGCCAGGGCTTTTCAGTAAATATCTCTTTCCTTCTCTAACACCACCAATACCTCCACCACACTGCCACTATTACAATCACCATCACTAATATAGGGTGATTTTTTTTATTCGAGAACCCTAAATAATTCCCATAACCTAAAAAGTACATACAGTGAAACCTCCATACAACGGACTTCTATATCCACATAACCCGTTAGATGGGGGTTTCATATCTGATGGACCCTCGATATAATGGCCCTTCATATCTCTATGCTTCGTTAGATGGAGGTTTTATATCTAACGGGCCCTCGATATAACAGACTTTCTTCTTCATATAATCCGTTAAATAGAGGTTTCACTGTAAGTTAGGAACCTAATGTTTTGCGTAAATGTAGCCTAATGTCACAGCAAGACGTAAAATGATCCTGAGGTATCACGTGACCCTCCAGTGGCGTTAACGGTAGAAAAACGTGTGTCTTATTATACCCATCTCCATCCCTAGATCTTACACCGCCAGATTTTGTTTTTGTTTTTTGTGGGAAAATTTGAAGGATATAGTGTGTGCTACGAAACCACGCAAGAATCGGTGACGCAATCAGGAATATCCCCAAGAAATGCTACACTCTGCCAAGAATAAATTTGTGCCTGCAACATGGTGGTGGACACTTTCAACACGCCATTTAAGGTAATCAATTGCGTGGATCATGTCACGTCTTTATGTAACATTAAGTTACATTTACGCAAAATAATAGATTCCTAACTGATATAGTTTTTAGTGCGTGGGAATTATTTAGGGTTCTTCAATAAAAAAAATTACCCTGCTACCTTCACCACCACCGCTACCACCACTACCATCCCAATCGTCGCTTCCATCACTTTCACCATCAACACAGCTATTAGCACGATGACCATCACCACCACCACTACTACTATCACTACAGCCATATCTACTACCCCTACCTACCACTGTATCCTCCACCACCACCACCACTTCATCACTTTAAGCACAACCACCATTATCTTAAACACAACCAATACTACCTACACCATAACCCCAACCACCTTTGATACTCGTATTGAAAGTAATGTCTTGACTACCGCCTTAACTTTTCTGGCACCCAATTATCGACTTGATACAAATAAGTTGAAAGTTGTCTTGGCATTTAATTGAAAGACATCAAGATTCGTCGTAGACATCTTGGCGGACGTCTGAAACAATAGGATTCTTGAGCCAGTCCACCTATGTGTTGAAAGTCGTAAGCCATCTTGACATGAGTCTTGACAGGCACCTTAACAGGCAGGTGCGAGGGCAAGTCATACGTGTGAGACGTCGCCTCCCTTCCACCACCGACGCACGCGAGAAACCACTTGGTCCCCCGCGGCCCTCAGTCCAGCTTGAAGAAACTCAGCCCAGCCTTGGGACATTTATCTCAGGTTGAGGACATTCATTCCATCTTGAGTACAATCAGTTCAGTTTGTAGGGTCTCAGTGCAGCCCGGAAACACTAAATTCAGCCCGGATATATTCACTACAAACATACTCTCTCGCCCGACTCCTAACCATGACTGTGTTACCGACATCTTTGTCGAGGTTCTTCATTTCTTGCGGTTTGATGTATTTAAATGTTTTAAAATTGTTAACAATATTTTTTTTTTTACCGTGTTTCCCTCATCTGGTCATTTTGATTCCTCAAATTTTCAAGATTTCCTTCTGGACATTCCTATCGTTGTGTACGGTTCCTTGCCGACTATTTCACTGATGGTGCTTGAGTACCTTTAGGTTCTTACTCTCCTCTTCCTCCTCATTAATGACATATCCATTCCTTCCAGTAGCACGCACTCCTTTCCTGATGATTCACATCATATAATCAGGGATAAGGGGATAATGGTAGAGATATTAATGGGCACAAGAGAGGGTGGGAGAACCTGAGGCAGGCACAGACTGGGATGGATGGATGAAAATAATAGCAGGATTCTCTCGATATGCAATATCTAAGGATTAATAAAAACAGCCCGGAAACGCTGAGAGTGGATAAACTTGTCGCCTACCCTCAGACAAGAGGATGGCACTTTTGATTGACCCGTAAAAAAAAAAAAAAATAAATCAACCATTTAAACTAGAGACACTGCAGATTAGGAAAACTCGCATACTCTACCCAATCTTTACCAAACTCACGCCATCCCAACTTAGCTCTTTCCAGTCCTGTGATACCCAATCCAGTTCGCTTTCACTCAGGCAAGCACAGGGACACTTAAGCAAGCACAGGAACACTCAAGGCAAGCACAGAGACACTTAGACAAGCACAGAGACACTTAGGTAAGCACAGGGACACTTAGGCAAGCACAGGGTCACTCAAGGCAAACAGGGACACTCAGGTAAGCACAAGGGCACTCAAACAAGCACAGGGATGCTCAGGTAAGCACAGAGACACTCAGAAGCACAGGGACACCCAGGCAAGCACAGGGATACTCATGCAAGTACAGAGACTCCCAGAGAAGCACAGGGAACACTCAGGTAAACACAGGAACATTCACACAAGCACATGGACACTCATCCAAGTACAGAGACAACCAGAGAAGCACAGGGACACTCAGGCAAACACAGGGAAATTTAGGCAAGCACAGGGACACTCAGGCAAGCACAGGGACACTCAGGCAAACACAGGGACATCCAGAGAAGCACAGGGACACCCAGGTAACTAAAGGACACTCATGCAAGAACGGGAACACTCAGGTAAACTCAGGAACATTCACGCAAGCACAGGGACACTCATGCAAGTACAGAGACAACCAGAGAAGCACAGGGACACTCAGGCAAACACAGGGAAATTTAGGCAAGCACAGGGACACTCAAGGAAACACAGGGACACTCAGGCAAACACAGGGAAATTTAGGCAAGCACAGGCGCACTCATGCAAACACAGGGACATTTAGGGAAGCACAGGGACAATCAGGCAAGCACAAGGACTCTCAGGCAAGCACAGGGACACTCGGAGCAAGACCAGGGACATTTAGGCAATCAGAGAGACACTCAGGTAAGCACAGGGACAACCAGGCAAGCACAAGGACACTCGATCAAAAACAGGGACACTCGGACAAATACAGGGACACTGGGGCAAACACAGGGACACAGAAGAAAACACATAAGAACATAAGAACATAAGAAAATAAGGAGTCTGCAATAGGCCGGTTGGCCTGTGCATGGCAGCTCCTGTCGAGAGTTACTACCACTCTCTATCATCCATGAATCTATCTAGCCTCCTTTTGAAAATTTCCAGAGTTCCCGCACTTACTACAACGTTGTTAAGCTTGTTCCACTCGTCCACCACCCTATTTGTGAACCAGTTTCTTCCTATCTCCCTCCTAAACCTAAACTTATCCAACTTGAATCCGTTGCTCCGAGTCCTATCCTGCTCGGATATTATAAGAACTTTATCTATATCCCCTTTATTGATTCCTTTCACCCACTTAAATACTTCTATCATATCTCCCCTCACTCTTCGTCGTTCTAGGGAATGCAAGTTTAGCTTCTTTAACCTCTCTTGATATGGAAGGTTTCTAAGTCCCGGAATCATTTTCGTCATTCTTCGCTGCACCGACTCCAGTGAATTGATATCCATTCTATAATAAGGGCACCAGAACTGAACCTCATAATCGAGGTGTGGCCTGACTAACGCAAGATATAATTGCAATACGACCTCTGCACTCTTATTACTTACACTTCTAGATAACATAAGAACATAACATAAGAATGGAGGAAACTGCAGCGGGCCTATTGGCCCATACTGGGCAGTCCCGTTTACACCCAACCCCTATTGCTCATATGAGCATCCAACCTATGTTTGAAACAATTCAGCGTATTCGAGTTAATGATGATATTTGGTAACTTGTTCCATTCATCCACTACTCTGTTTCCAAACCAGTGTTTACCTATTTCACGCCTAAATCTAAATTTGTCTAATTTAAAACCATTGTTACGAGTTCGCTCCTGGTTGGATAGTTTGAGTACCTTTGTAATGTCCCCTTTGTTTAGCCCTGCCTTCCACTTATACACCTCTATCAGGTCGCCCCTCGCTCTACGTCTCTCGAAGGGAGTGCAAATTAAGATGCTTTAACCTGTCTCTATACTCAAGGTTCCTAATGCCCGGGATTAGTCTTGTCATTCTCCTCTGAATTCTTTCCAAGGATTCTATATCCATTCTGTAATACGGTGACCAGAACTGAACTGCGTAATCCAGGTGTGGTCTCACAAGAGCAAGATACAGTTTTAGGATGACCTCGCTAGTCTTGTAACTAACACTCCTTTGTATGAACCCAAGTACTTTATTAGCCTTGTTACGAGCAAAAACACATTGTTTACTTGGCTTAAGGTTCCTACTTATCATTACTCCTAAATCTCTCTCGCAGTCGGATTTCTCTATGGCATCGTTGTTCATCTGGTATCTGGTTTCCCTGTTTACATCTCCTATACTGAGTACTTTACTTTTGTCGACGTTGAATTTCATCTGCCATTTTTCAGACCATTCGAAAAATTTGTTTAGATCTTCCTGTAGTTTTGCCGAGTCCTCGTCAGATTTGATAACACGTCCTATTTTAGTGTCATCAGCAAATTTACTTATGTTGCTGTCAATGCCGATATCTATGTCGTTTATGTATATAATAAATAATAATGGTCCAAGTACTGAGCCTTGGGGAACTCCACTTCAGACGCTGTCTAATGGGACTTAGTGCCGTTTAATGCTCACTCGCTGTTTCCTGTCCTGTAACCACGCCCTAATCCATTTAAGATGTCACCTTGATGTTACGAGAGCTTCTACCTTTCTAATTAGTCTTTTCGTGGGGGACTCTTATCGAAGGCTTTACAAAGTCGAGATATACCACATCATAATTAGTGCCTCGGCCCACTGATTCGAAAACTGATGAAAAGAATGTTAATAGATTAGTTAGGCAAGAACGTCCGCTTGTGAAGCCATGCTGGGAATCATTGATCAATCCGTGCTTCTCCAGGTGATGTCGAATAAAGTTTGAAATGATTGCTTCCAGTAATTTGCCTACTATTGATGTTAGACTGATTGGGCGGTAGTTAGAGGATAGTGATCTATCCCCCTTCTTGAAAATCGGTATTACATTCGCTATCCTCCAGGATTCTGATACTATACCTGTTTTTAATGACATGTTAAACTACTTTGCTAAGGGCATACTAAGCTCTTCCTTACATTCCTTTAATACTCTGGCAAATATCTCATCGGGACCAGGTGACTTATTAGGCTTTAGTTTGTCTATTTGCTTACTAACATCGTTACTAGTCACTACTATCTCACTTAATTTGTTTTCTTCACTATCTCTGAATAGAGTCGGTGCCTTCCGGGTATCATAAGCTTCTAAATTTTCGGTGGTGAAAAACTGCTGGAAAATATTTATTCAAATTATTGCTCATTTCTCCGCTGCTATCAGTGAGCTTGCCGAAGTCTTCGACCCCGTATTGGTCCAATCTTTTCTCGTGTTTTTAGTTTGATACATTTGGTAGAATCCTTGGGTTTGTCTTCGCCTCCCTTGCTATCCTTACCTCATTATTCCTCTTTGCTTTCCTTATCTAGGTTTTAACCCTACTCGCCATTACCCTAATAGTCCCGATATAATTTCGCTTACCATTTATCTCAACGCATAGCCTTGGCCAATGATGTTCTTTAAATAATTATTTATCCATTTAAAGTCATCATGGTCTGATCTGAGTTTTTATGGTATGTTCTGCTCAGCATTAAGCAACTCACTATTTAAATTGTCGAACTCTGCAGATCTGTAGATCTCGCGATTAGGAAGTCGGTGGGTCATCTGTCGTGTTCACAGCCGTTTTATTAATTTCTCTCTCAGCTGCCTCTTTAGTCCGTCAAAAGTTTGCCCTTCAAATCTGGTACTTAGTGGAATTTTCACGCCTGCCCCTGGAAAATCTAACTGAAATTTAATTTTCAGATCGCTGTTTGCAAGTTCGCTCTCACCTCGACATTGCTAATTAGGGTTTTCTGTTCGACAGAACTAAGTCCAGTATATGGTTACTCTGCGGTGGGGTTCGGTTATATGTTGACTTAGGAAACAGTCCTGGATCGTCTCGACAAAATCTTTCAGATTCTGAGTTACCCGTAAGGTCAGTCCAATCTATTTGGCCAAGGTTAAAGTCGCCTACTATACAGACTATACTACTATACAGATATAAAACCTAATACTCTGTTTGCCTTATTTCGAACATTATGCACTGTTTTCTAGGCCGTAGGTCCGAGCTTACAAGTGCCCCTAAGTCTCTTTCACAAGTCGACCTTTCTAGGTTGATGTTGTTTAGTCTGTATACGTTGACAGTATTTGTTCTACCAATATTAAGTACGCTGCACTTGCTGGTGTTGAATTTCATTTGCCATTTCCCTGACCACTCTTGCAGTTTATTTAAATCTTCCTGTAGTGTATTTGCATCCTGCCCTGAATTAATCTGCTGCCCTATTTTGGTATCATCCGCAAACTTGCTTATGTCACTGCTGATCCCAGTATCTAGATCGTTTATATAGATTATAAACAAGAGAAGGCCCAGTACTGACCCCTGGGGAGCATCACTGATTACACAGCCCCACTCTGATTTGACACCATCTACGCTGACACTCTGTGTTCTATCAGCGAGCCACAATTTTATCCAATTTAAAACTTTTCCCTCGATACCATGAGCCTAAATTTTTCTCAGACGCCTCTGATATGGTACTCTGTCAAACGCTTTGCTAAAGTTCAAGTAAATAACATCGTAATTATCGGGTCATTATCTACTGACCTGACCTCACGGTTTCACCTGGCCTAACCTGAAGGATGGAGCACACCTGCATTGCCCCATGTTACTGTCCTGGCCACGTGGCCACACACCTGCCCATCCGCATCCAGCCCATGCGAGCACGAACTGATTGCTATAAGAACAGCCCAGTCTCAACCATTGTAAAAATTATCAACACCTTATTATTATATATCATATTTGTATCACTTATGTTACTTGCATATCATTTGTAAATCAAAACCCATCCCCCAATTATGTAATTGTATATTTTCAGCCGTCCAGCTGCCATGCTCTTTTAATAAACCGTTAATTATTATTATTATTATTATTATTATTATTATTATTATTATTATTATTATTATTATTATTATTATTATTATTATTATTATTATTATTATTATTAACATTATTATTATTATTATTATTATTAGAAACGCTCAGGCAAACATATCGACACTCAGACAAGCATAGGAACATTCAGGCAAGCAACAGGGACACTCAGGGAAGTATAGGGGCACTCAGGGAAGCACAGTGACACCCAGGCAAGCATAGGAACACTCAAGCAAGCTCATGGATACACTGGCAAGCACAGGGACACTCAGGTAAATACAGGGACACTCAGGTAAAACACAGAAACACTCAGGCAAACACTGGGTCACTCAGGGAAACACAGGAACACTCAGACAAACACAGAAAAAACTCAGACAAGCATAGGGACATTCAGGCAACCTACAGGGACACTTAGGGATAGTACAGGGACAGTCAAGCATGCACAGAGACTCTCGGGCAAGCATTGGGACACGCAGGGAAGGACAGGGGCAATTAGGCAAGTAGAAGTACACTTGGCCAAACACATGGAAACTCAGGAAAGCACAAGGACAATGGTGCAAGCACAGGGACACTTAGGTAAGTACCGGGACACTCGGGCAAATACAGGAACACTCGGGCAAAATCCGGGGCACTCAGGCAAGCACAAGGACACTCAGGCAAGCACAGCGACACTCAGGCAAACACAAGGACTCTTGGAGACATAGGAACATTCAGGCAGACACAAGAACACTCAGGCAGACAAAAGAACACTCTGCCAGATAGAACACTCAGACAGACACAGGGACACTCAGGGAGACACAGGGACATTCAGGCAGACACAGGGACACTCAGGCAGACACAGGGACACTCAGCCAGACACAGGAACACTCAGACAGACACAGGGACACTCAGGCAGACACAGGAACACTCAGGCCAGACACAGGGACACTCAGGGAGACACAGGGACATTCAGTGAACACAGGGACACTCCAGGCCAGTTCCCCCAAGGGACCTCAAAAAAGTGACCCAGGGACACTCAGACAGACACAGGGACACTCAGGCAGATACAGGAACACTCCAGACAGACACAGGGACACTCCAGGAGACACAGGACATTCAGGCGAGACACAGGGACACTCAGGCAGACCTGGGACATAGGGCAGACACAGGAACACTCAGACAGACACAGGGACACTCAGAGAACTGGGGACATTCAGGCAGACACAGGAACACTCAGGTGAGACACAGGAACACTCAGACAGACACCCAGGAACCTCCAGGCAGACACAGGGAACACTCAGGAACTGGGACATTCAGGCAGACACAGGAACACTCAAGGAAGCGAGACACAGGACACTCAGACAGACACCTACAGGGACACTCAGGCAGACGCACAGAAGACATCAGACAGACTTACAGGGACATTCAAGGCAGACACAGGGACACTCAAGGGAGTTACAGGGACATTCAGGCAGACACAGGAACCTCCAGACCAGACACAGGGACACTCAGGCAGACACAGGAACCTCAGGCAGACACAGGGACCTCAGGTGAACACAGGGACACTCAAGACAGACTAGGAACACTCGAGCAGACACAGGAACATCAGGCCAGACACAGGAGGACACTCAAGGCAGACACAGGGACACTCCAGGCAGACACAGGGACACTCAAGGCAAACTGGGAACACTCAGGCAGACACAGGAACACGCTCAGACGAACACAGACACTCAGGCAGACACAGGGGACCTCCAGGCAGACACAGGAACCTCAGACAGACTGGGAACACTCCAGACAGACACAGAACACTCAGGCAAACAGGAACACTCCAAGCAGACACAGAACACTCAGGCAGACACAAGAACACTCCAGACAATTTACAGGGAACCTCAGGCAGACAGGGTACTCAGGCAAACACAGGACACTCAGGCAGACACAGGAACACTCCAGACAATTTGGGAACACTCCAGACAGACCCTACAGGGACACTCCAGGCAGACACAGGGACACTCAGGCAGACTACCCAAGACACTCAGGCAGACACAGGGACACTCAGGCAGACACAGGGAACACTCCAATTGAACACAGGGACCTCAGGCAGACCTGGGAACACTCAGGCAGACACAGGGACCTCCAGGCAGACACAGGGAACACTCAGATTGAACTGCAGAACCTCCAGGCAGACACAGGAACACTCAGACAGACACAGGAACACTCAGACAGACACAGGGACACTCAAGAACACAGGGACACTCAGGGAGACACAAGGGGACACTCAGGGAACACAGGGGACAGTCAAGGCAGACTGGGGACATTCAGGGGACACCCAGGGGTTACTCAGGAGACAGGGGACACTCAGACAGACTGGGAACACTCAGACACACACAGGGACACTCAGACAGACACAGGAACACTCAGACAGACACCCCAGGGACATTCAGGAGCCACAGGGACACTCAGGGAGACACAGGAACACTCAGACTAACACCCAGGAACACTCAGGTGGGCTAGGACACTCAAGGGAGACAGGGACCTCCAGGCAAACACAGGGACACTCAGGCAGACACAGGAACACTCCAGGCCAAACACAGGGACACTCCAGGCGGGCCGGAACACTCAGACAGACACAGGAACACTCAGACAGACACAAGGGACCTCCAGGCAGACACAGGGACCTCAGGGCAGACACAGGAACACTCAGGCGGACACAGGGGACACTCCAGGCAGACTGCAGGAACACTCAGACAGACTGGGACCCTCAGGCAGACACGGAACACTCAGGCAGACACAGGGACCTCCAGACACGGAACACTCCAGACAGACCTGCCGAGACACTCAGGCCTTTACAGGAACACTCAGGCAGGCAGGAACACTCCAGGCAGACACAGGACACTCAGGCAGACACAGAGACACTCCAGACGAAACACAGGGGACCTCAGGCAGACACCTGCCCAGGAACACTCCAGGCAGACACAGGGGACCTCAAGGCAGACAGGAACACTCAAGGCAGACCTGGGGACACTCAGGCCAGACAGGAACCTCCAGGCAGACACCACAGGGACCTCCAGGCAGACCTGGGAACACTCAGGCAGACACCAAAGACACTCAGGCAGACTACAGGGGACCTCCAGGCAGACCTGGAACACTCCAGGCAGACACAGGGACACTCCAGGCAGACACAGGAACCGCTCAGGCAGACTGGGACACTCAGGCAGACTGGGAACACTCAGGCAGACTGCAGGTTACTCAGCAGGTGAAACACAGGGACCTCAAAGACCAGACACAGGGACCTCCAGGTGAACTGGGGACACTCCCAGGCAGACACAGGGACACTGGGGGCAGACACAGGAACACTCCAGGCAGACACAGGGACACTCCAGGCGGGCAAGGTACTCCAGGCAGACACAGGGACACTCCCAGGCAGACACAGGGCACTCAGGCAGACATAGGAACATTCAGGCAGACAGGAACACTCAGACAGACACAGGGACACTCAGACAGACACAGGGACACTCCAAGCACAGGACCTCAGGCAGACACAGGAACACTCCAGGCAGACCTGGGGACCTCAGGCAGACACAGGAACACTCAGGCGAACTTACAGGAACACTCAGGCAGACACAGGAACACTCAGGCAGACACAGGGACACTCAGACAGACCTGGGAACACTCAAAGACAGACCTGGGAACACTCAGGCAGAAACACAGGACACTCCAGGCAGACACAGGAACACTCAGGGCAGACACAGGGACACTCAGACAGGCCTGGGAACACTCGAACCAGACACAGGAACACTCAGGCAAACACAGGAACACTCAGGCAGACACAGAACACTCAGACAGACACAGGAACACTCAGACAGACACAGGGGACACTCAGGGAGACTACAGGGACACTCGAACCCCAAGGGACACTCAGGGGAACCCCAGGACATTCAGGCAGACACAGGGACTTCCCAGGGAGACAGGACACTCAGGAGACACAGGACACTCAGATGAACACAGGGAACACTCAGGTACCACCACAGGGGACCTCCAGACAGACACAGATTCTCAGACAGACACAGGGACATTCAGGGGTCTGGGGACCTCAGGGGAACACAGAACACTCAGACAGACACAGGAACCTCAGGCAGACACAGGACACTCGGGGAACCTACCCCAGGAGGACACTCAGGCAAACACAGGGGACACTCAGGGCAGGCTGGGGAACACTCAGGCAAACACAGGGACACTCTGAGCAGACACAGTGCTCAGACCAGACAGGGTGCCTCAGACAGACTACAGGGACACTCAGAGCCCAGACACCACAGGGACCTCAGAGCCCAGACACAGGAACACTCCAAGGCCAGACACAGGGACACTCCAGGCAGACACAGGAACACTCAGACAGATTTAGGGACCCTCAGGCAGACACAGGAACCTCCAGGCAAACACAGGGGACACTCAGGCAGACACAGGAACACTCAGACAGACCTGGAACACTCAGGCAGACACCAGGAACCTCAGGGCACAGGGACATTCAGGCAGACACAGGGAACACTCAGGCAGACACAGGGACACTCCAGACAGACACAGGGACACTCAGGCGAACTGGAACACTCCAGACAGACACAAGGGACATTCAGACAGACAGGAGGAACCTCAGGAGACCCCAGGGACATTCAGGCAGACACAGGAACACTCAGACAGACACCACAGGGCACTCCAGACAGACACAGGAACACTCCAGGCAGACGGGACACTCAGGTGAACCTGGGACCTCCAGGCAGACTGGAACCTCAGACAGACACAGGAACATCCCGGGCAGACACAGGAACACTCAGGCAGACACAGGGACACTCAGGCAGACACAGGAGGACGCCAGGCCAAACTAGGAACACTCAGGCAGACACAGGAACACTCCAGACAGACACAGGAACCTCAGGCAGACACAGAGACCTCAGGCAGACACAGGAGACACTCAGACAGACAGGGTACTCAGACAGACACAGGAACACTCAGGCAAACACAGGAACACTCAGGCAGACACAGAAACACTCAGGCAGACACAAGAACACTCAGACAGACACAGGGACCTCCAGCGAACACAGGAACCTCAGGCAAACACAGGGGACACTCAGGCAGACACAGGAACACTCAAGACAGACACAGGAACACTCCAGACAGACACAGGGACACTCAGGCAGACTGGGGACACTCAAGGCAGACACCCAGGAACACTCCAGGCAGACACAGGGACTCAGGCAGACACAGGAGACACTCAGACAGACACAGGACCTCTCAGGCAGACACCCAAGACACTCAGGCAGACACAGGGACACTCAGGCGAGACACAGGAACCTCAGACAGACACAGGAACACTCAGGCAGTTACAGGAACACCAGACAGACTGGAACACTCAGACAGACACAGGGACACTCAGGGAGACACAGGGACACTCCAGGGAGACACAGGGACACTCAGGGAGACACAAGGGACAGTCAGGCAGACACAGGGACATTCAGGAGACACAGGGACACTCAGGGAACACAGGAGACACTCCAATGAACACAGGAACACTCAGACACACACAGGGACACTCCAGACAGACACAGAACACTCCAGACAGACACAGGGACATTCAGGAGACACAGGAGGACACTCAGGGAGACACGGAACACTCAGACTAACACAGGAACACTCAGGCAGACACAGGGACACTCAAGGGGGGCCTGGGACACTCAGGCAAACACAGGGACACTCAGGCAGACTGCAGAACCTCCAGGCAAACACAGGGACACTCAGGCAGACTGGAACACTCAGACAGACACAGAGACACTCCAGACAGACACAGGGACACTCCAAGCTGAACAGGGGACACTCAGGCGAATTTTGGGAACACTCAGGCAGACACAGGGACGCCAGGCAGACCTGGGAACACTCAGACAGACACAAGGGACCCTCAGGCAGACACCTGAGGAACATGAGGCAGACACAGGACCTCAAATAGACACAGGAACACTCAGATGAACTGGGAACACTCAGGCAGACACAGGAACACTCAGGCAGATTTAGGAACCTCAGGCAGACACAGGGACACTCAGGCAGACACAGGAACACTCAAGGCAAACACAGGGACCTCAGGCAGACACCAGGAACTGCTCAGGCAGACACACAGGACACTCAGGGCAGACCCCAGGAACACTCAGGCAGACACAGGGACCTCAAGGCAGACACAGGAACACTCAGGGCAGACACAGGGACCTCAAGGCGAGACACAAGACACTCAGGCAGACACAGGAACCTCCAGGCAGACACAGGACACTCAGGCAGACACAGGAACCTCAGGCAGACACAGGGACACTCAGGCCGAACTGGGAACAACTCGGGCAGACACAGGGACACTCCAGGCAGACTGCAGGAACCTCCAGGCAGACACAGGAACACTCAGAGCAAACTTTAGGACACTCAGACAGACACAGGGACACTCAGACAGACACAGGGACACTCAGGCGAACACAGGACACTGAGGGCAGACACAGGAACACTCCAGGCAGACACAGGGACACTCAGGCAGACTGCAAGGAACACTCCAGGCAGACACAGGGACACTCAGGCAGACACAGGAACCTCAGGCAGTATGGAACATTCAGGCAGACTGCAGGAACACTCAGACGGACACAGGGGACCTCAGACAGACACAGGGGACCTCAGGCACACACAGGACCCTCAGGCAGACACAGGAACCTCAGGCAGACACAGGGATTCCTCCAGACAGCAGACACAGGAACACTCCAGGCAGACACAGGAACACTCAGGCAGACCCCGAGCATCCCAGGCAGACCTGGGGACCTCAGACAGACACAGGAACACTCAGACAGACACAGAACACTCAGGCAAACACAGGAACCTCCAGGCAGACACAAGAACCTCAGGCAGGCCGGGGACACTCAGACAGACTGGAACCTCAGACAGACACAAGACACTCAGGCCAGAAACACAGGAACACTCAGGCAGACACAGGAGACACTCAGACCCAGACACAGGAACCTCCAGACAGACACAGGGACCTCAGGGAGACACCCAGGGACACTCTGGGGAGACACAGGGACACTCAGGGAGACACAGGGACATTCAGGCAGACAGGGACATTCAGGGAGAACAGGGACGCACTCAGGGAGACACAGGGACACTCAGACAGACACAAGAGACACTCCGGAGCCTAGGACACTCAGACTGAACACAAGGAACCTCCAGACAGACACAGGGACATTCAGGAGACACAGGGACACTCAGGGAACACAGGAACCTCAGACAGACACAGGAACACTCCAGGGCAGACAGGACCTCAAGGAGCACAGGGACACTCAGGCAAACACAGGGACACTCAGGCAGACCCCAGGAACACTCCAGGGCAAGCCTACAGGGACCTCCAGGCCAGTTGGGAACCTCAAGACAGACACAGGAACACTCAGACAGACACAGGGACACTCCAGGCAGACACAGGGACACTCGGGCAGACACAGGAACACTCCCAGGCAGACACAGGGACACTCAGGCAGACACAGGAACACTCAGACAGACACAGGGACCCTCAGGCAGACACAGGAACCTCAGAGGCAGACACAGGGACCTCCAGGCAGACACAGGAACCTCAGACAGACACAGGAGGAACACTCAGGCAGACACAGGAACACTCCAGGCAGACACAGGAATACTCAAGACAGACACAGGACACTCAGGGCAAGACACAGGGAACCTCCAGGCAAGCCTACGGAACACTCCAGGCAGACACAGGGACACTCAGGCAGACACAGAACACTCCAGGCAGACTGGGGACACTCGAGCAGACACAGGACACTCAGACAGACACAGGAACACTCAGACACAAACACAGGAACACTCAGGCAGACACACGGAACACTCAGACAGACACAGGGACACTCAGGGAACACAGGAACACTCAGGCAGACACAGGAACACTCAGGCAGACTACAGGACACTCAGCAGACACACAGGAACCTCAGGCAGACACAGGAACACTCAGGCAGACACCCCAAGACTCAGGCAGACCTTGTATGGAACACTCCAGGCGGGCTGGGAACACTCAGGCAGACACAGGGACACTCAGGGCAGACACAGGAACACTCAAGGCGAACCCAGGACACTCAGGCAGACACAGGAACACTCAGGCAGACACAGGAACACTCAGGCAGACACAGGGACCTCAGGCAGATTACAGGAACACTCAGGCAGACACAGGACACTCAGGCAGGCCACAGACAACTCAGGCAGACTTACAGGGACCTCAGGCAGACCTGGGAACACTCCAGGCAGACCTGGGAACCTCCAGGCAAGCACAGGGACACTCAAAGGCCAGACACAGGGACACTCCAGACAGACACAGGGACACTCAGGCAGACACAGGGACACTGAGGCAGACACTGGGAACACTCAGGCACAGACACAGGGACCTCAGGCAGACTGAGACACTCAGGCAGACACCTGGGGACACTCAGGCAGACACAGGGAACACTCAGGCAGACATAGGAACATTCCAGGCAGACACAGGAACACTCAGGCAGACACAGGGACGCACTCAGACAGACACAGGACACTCAGGCACACACAGACGCCAGGCAGATTACCTGGGAACACTCCAGTGAACCTACAGGACATCAGGCAGACACAGGAACACTCAGGCAGACACAGGAACCTCAGGCAGACACAGGAACACTCAGGCAGACACAGGGACACTCAGACGAATTACAGGAACCTCAGACAGACACCTACCTGCAAGGAACACTCAGGCAGAAACACAGGAACACTCAGGCAGACACAGGAACACTCCCAGGCAGACTGGGGACACTCAGACAGACACAGGAACACTCAGACAGACACAGGAGCCTCAGAGCCGGCTTAGGAACCTCAGCAGGCAGAACACAGGGCACTCAGACGAACTGGGAACCTCCAGACAGACACAGGGACACTCGGGAACACAGGGACACTCCAGGGGCACGAGGTTACTCAGGGAGACACAGGGACATTCAGGAACTGGGGACATTCAGGAGACACAAGGGACCTCAGGAGACACAGGGACACTCAAGCAGACACAGGAACCTCAGGCGAGCCACAGGGACCTCAGACAGACCACAGGGGCCTCAGACAGACACAGGGACATTCAAGGGAGACACAGGGTTACTCCAGGAGACACAGGAACACTCAGACAGACTTAGGAACACTCAGGCAGACACAGGGACACTCCAAGGAGACACAGGACACTCAGGCAAACACAAGGGCACTCCAGGCAGACACAGGAACACTCCGGAAGCAAACACAGGGACGCACTCAGGCAGACACAGGAACACTCAGACAGACACAGAACCTCAGACAGACACTAGAGACCTCAGGCAGACACAGGACACTCAGGCAGACTTGGGAACACTCAGGCAGACACAGGAACATAGTGGCTTAGGAACACTCAGGCAGACACAGGGACACTCAGGAGACAGGGGACCTCCGAGGCAAACACAAGGAGGACACTCAGGCAGACACCCAGGAACACTCCAGCAGAGCCAATGAGACACTCAGGCAGACACAGAACACTCAGACAGACACAGGAACACTCAGACAGACACAGGGACACTCAGGCGAACTGGGGACACTCAGGCAGACACAGGGACACTCCCAGGCAGACACAGGGACCTCAGGCAGACACAGGAACACTCAGACGAACTGAGGGAGCCCTCCAGGCAGACACAGGGAACACTCCAGGCAGACACAAGGGACCTCCAGGCAGACACAGAACACTCAGACAGACACAGGAACACTCAGGAAGGCAGACACAGGGACACTCAGGCAGACACAGGAACACTCCAGGCAGACACAGGGACACTCAGGCAGACACAGGAACACTCAAGGCAAACACAGGAACACTCAAGACAGAACTGAGGACACTCAGGCAGACACAGGAACACTCAGGCAGACACAGGACACTCAGGCAGACACAGGAACCTCAGACAGACCTGGGGACACTCAGGCAGACACAGGAACACTCCCAGGCAGACCTGGGGACACTCCAGGCAGACACAGGAACACTCCAGGCAGACACACCAGAGACACTCAGGCAGACACAGGGACCTCAGGCAGACACCCAGAACACTCAGAGCAGACTAGGGACACTCAGGCAGACACAGGAACAACTCAGGCAGACACAGGACATCAGGCAGACACCAGGAACACTCCAGAGCAGACACCCAGGAACACTCCAAGGCAAACACAGGACACTCAGACAGACCTGGGGACACTCAGACAGACACACAAGGGACACTCAGGCAGACACAGGACACTGGACACAGGAACACCAGGCAGACACAGGGGACACTCCAGGCAGACACAAGGACACTCAGAGCCCAGACAAAAGGGACCTCAGGCAGACACAAGGAACCTCAGGCAGACATAGGAACATTCAGGCAGACACAGGAACACTCAGGGCAGACACAGGGACACTCAGACAGACGCAGGGGATACTCAGGCTTTGGAACCTCAGGCAGACTACAGGAACACTCAGGCAGACCTACCCAGGGACACTCAGGCAGACACAGGAACACTTGAGCAGACACAGGAACACTCAGGCAGACACAGGAACACTTTCCAGGCAGACACAGGACCTCAGACAGACACACAGGAACACTCAGACAGACACAGGAACACTCAAAGGCAAACACCCAAGAGACCTCAGGCAGACACGAGACACTCCAGGCAGACACAGGACACTCAGACAGACACATGAACCTCAAGACAGACACAGGAACACTCCAAGCAAAACAGGAACACTCAGGCGGAACTGGGGACACTCAGACAGACACAGGAACACTGAACGAACCTGGGGACACTCAGGGAGCAGGACACTCAGGGAGGCTGGGGACACTCAAGGGAGCACAAGGGACATTCAGAGCAGACACAAGGGACATTCAGGAGACCACAGGGACCTCAGGGAGACACAGGGTTACTCAGACAGACTACAGGAACCTCCAGACACACACAGGGGACACTCAGGGAACCTGGGAACACTCAGACAGACTTTAGGAACACTCAGGGCAGACACAGGGACACTCAGAAGGAGACACAGGGACCTCCAGGCAAACACCTACAGGGACACTCAGGCAGACACAAGGGCCTCAGGCAAACACAGGGGACACTCCAGGCAGACACAGAACACTCCAGACAGACACAGGAACACTCAGACAGACACAGGGACACTCAAGGCAGACACAGGGACACTGGGCAGACACAGGAACACTCAGGCGAACCCCTACAGGGACCTCCAGGCAGACCTGGGAACACACAAAGACAGACACAGGGACCCTCAAGAGCAGGAACTGGAACACTCAGAGGCAGACACAGGGACATCAGGCAGACACAGGAACACTCAAGAACAGAACACAAGGTCCTCAGGCAGACACAGGAACCTCCAGGCAGACTAGGAATACTCAGACAGACACAGGGACACTCCAGGCAGACACAGGAACACTCAGGCAAACACAGGAACTCAGGCAGACACAGGGACACTCAGGCAGACACAGGAACACTCAGGCAGACACAGGGACACTCAGGCAGACACAAGACACTCCAGACAGACACAAGAACACTCAGGCAAGCCCCAGGAACACTCAGGCAGACACAGGAACACTCAGACAGACACAGGACACTCAGGAGACACAGGAACACTTCCAGGCAGACACAGGAACACTCCAGGCAAACACAGGGACACTCAGACAGACACACAGGGACCTCAGACAAGACACAGGACACTCCAGGCAGACACGGACACTGAGGCAGACCTGGGAACACTCAGGCAGACACAGGGGACACTCAGGCAAGACACAGGGCCTCCAGGCAGACACAGGGACACTCAGGCAGACACAGGAACTCAGGCAGACACAAGGAACATTCAGGCAGACACAGGAACACTCGGACAGACACAGGGACACTCAGACAGACTACAGGACACTCAGGCACACACACACAGGACCACTCAGGCAGAACACAGGAACACTCAGGCAGACACAGGGACACTCCAAGACAGAACCACAGGAACACTCAGGCAGACACAGGAACACTCAGGCAGACACCCCCAGGAACACTCAGGCGGGGCAGGACACTCCAGACAAGACACAGGAACACTCAGACAGACACAGGAACACTCAGAGCAAACCCCACCTAGGAACCTCAGGTAGACAGGGGTTACTCAGGCAGACAGGGACACTCAGACAGACACAGGAACACTCAGACAGACACCCAGGAACTCAGGCAAACACAGGAACACTCAAGGCAGACACAGGAACACTCAGACCAGACACAGGAACACTCAGGCAGACACAGGGACACTCCAGGGGCTGGGGACACTCAGGGAGACACAGGGACACTCAGGAGACACAGGGACATTCAGGCAGACACAGGGACATTCCAGGAGACACAGGAGGACCTCCAGGAGACCTGGGGACACTCAGACAGACACAGGAACACTCCAGACACACACAGGGACACTCAGACGAACACAGGAACACTCAGACAAGACACAGGGACATTCAGGAACTAGGGACACTCCCAGGGAACACAGGGAACACTCAGACAGACACAGGAACACTCAGGCAGACACAGGGACACTCCAAGGGGAGACACAGGGACACTCCAGGCAAACACAGGGACCTCAGGCAGACACAGAGACACTCAAGGCAAACACAGGGACACTCAGGCAGACACAGGAACACTCCAGACAGACACAGGAACACTCAGACAGACACAGGGGACACTCAGGCAGACACAGGGGACACTCCAGGCAGACACAGGAACACTCAGGCAGACACAGGGACCTCCAAGGCAGACACAGGAACACTCAGACAGACTGGGGACCCTCAGGCAGACACAGGAACACTCAGGCAGACACAGGACCTCCAGGCAGACACAGGAACACTCAGACGAACTGGAACACTCAGTGAACCTGGAACCTCAGGCGGAACTGAGATACCCAGACAGACTCCAAGGGACACTCAGGCAGACAGGAACACTCCAGGCAAACACAGGAACCTCAGGCAGACACAGGGACACTCAGGCAGACACCCAGGAACCTCAGGCAGA